TACTAATTACATTGGAACCATATTGGAATTAGGAATTAGTTAGGTAAATTGGGAGAAGATTTAATAAACTATTTTATAATATATGTTATCAAGCATATTAAAATTTTAAAAAAATTCAAGTTTTATTTAAAAAAACACTACAATACCTATTTTTACATAAAATCTTAGTACAACTTAGAAAGTTTATAAATATCTATCGTTAACTTATCCCCTCTATAAATTTAAGCTTTCTTATGCTCATCTAATCTTTTTCCCACTTTTTTCATAAGGTCCTAAAATGCCGAAGGTTATGGATTCCTACCCAAGGGAAGACTTAAGTACTTTAATGGTGACTCGACCACTCTACACCCCAATATCTCTACCAATTTACAAATTTTATCAAGAGAAGAATTGGTAAAAATCGCTTCCTCCTCCCCACACCCCCCCAAAAAAAAAAAAAAAAAAAAAAAAAAAGAGGAACATATAATATCAGCACCAAATTACAAAATGTTGTAGAGGTGCAACAAGTCTCCTTGAGATTCAATCCAACAATATAGATATTCCACCTCTTCCCTTGACAAAAACTTCCACATGACCAAATCTTTTTGCTTTCCTTACGTGCCTACTCAACCCACCAGCACTAAGAGAGAGAGAAAAGGAAATAAAGGATCACTCGGTTTCAATCCTCTCGATGTCTTAAACCTTTCCCTTGGCTTGCCATTCATCATAACATAGATATTTAGTGATTGCAAACATCCATTGGCTATATCTATGTTATTACTAATTCAATTACGTCTCTCGTTGGCTATACTATTTAAATGGTATCAGAGCCACCCTTGAGATGGAGTCACTATGAATCATTGTTTGTCGTCGACGTGGAGTCGGTGTTCGCTGATCACCGTTGAGTTGTTGTTCGTCGTCAAGGTGGAGTACTCCTTTGTTGACCACCAGAATCGTTGATGTTGGTGATTGAATAAATTGATTGTATCATAGTGGAGTTGAAGAAATTTGTTGTTGAGTTTTTGAATGAAATCGAAGTTGTTGTTTGTTGATCGAGTTTTCGGTTGATAGTGTTTGGGTGCTGATTGTTGAAGATAAGGGGACATAGTTAGGGTTTCAGAAGTCACCAATCGAAGGTTGAAGAAAGGGTCCAGTTCAATCAGATCCTCCTTTTGGGTTCGGATACTTATATCATAAGCCTAAGCATACTTATCTTTGAAGCCCAAAGCCTTGTTCAAGTTCAAAGTCCAGCCCAATCTATTTAGAAGCCCAAGTATTGAAGTTCAGCCTAGTCGGACCTATTCAACATCTTTTAAACCGGTTTAGCCCTGGTTCACACTTAAACTGGTTTGGTTTAACCCGGTTCAGGTCGATTCGACGCCTTCTAGACTAGTTCAAATTTGGTTTTATTTGGTTCAGTCCATCTCAAGTCGGTTCTTCGTGCTTCCAGACCAGTTCAGTCCATCCCAAGTCGGTTTTTTATTCATCCAGACCAGTTCAACATGGATCAGATCATTTGAAGTCCATCTAGCATCGGTTCTACCCTTTTGGATTGATAAGTTCTATTTTTGCCCTTTTGCTTTTCTGTTTCTATTTTTACTTTTCTGTTTCTATTTTTGTTTTTATTTCTACTCTTCCGTTTCTGTTTTTGCTTGGTCTGGGCATTATGGAAGACAATAAATTTCCTTCCGGTGGTGTTGGATCTGTAGTGAGTCAAGACTTTACTGGTTTGTCTATTACCTCTATTGGCTTGAATTTTCTTGCTCAATATTTAGGTTCAAGTCTCCATGCTTACGACAATTCTTTGAGACTAAACATACTCTTCAGCGTCCAGACCACGTGGTGGAACCTGAGCTTGAGCTTCAGCCCAGTGTGGATGGGTTCCTTACAGATAGTTATGTAGTAGTGAGAGATAACCTATCCCCATGATATTTGGAAGCATGAGGAAACATGAACATAAGACAAAGTCGTCATCATCAGAATTTCAATCTGTTACCATATTGCAGTCCCGCTATACAATAAACTGAAACTACAAATCATATGAAAGACAATACAGAGACACAAGAGCTAGCAAAAGTTTGTGTCCAGGAAGAACACAAAACAATGCAGTTCATACAAATTGAAACCGCATTAGGAGCTTTACAGATTTGAGTTTCTCACCCTTTTTGTCATAAAGTGGGATTGATCGAATCCCAGTTCTCAACTCAGAAACAGGCAAACATGTCTGCCCACCAAAGTCATCCTTCTCTGAACTGTCATAGTCTCGTACTTCAATCCGAAGAAGAGCCAGCTCTGGCACTGTCAATGGAAATGTAAACTCTTCATCCCAAACAGGTGCCCAGTCATCCTCAATCGTCGTCGTTTTCTTCTTGGCAGCGTCTGCTGGAACTCCAATTATATAAACCTGCGACTCAGAATTAAGTCAATCAGAATTAGACTCGACGTTTTCAGCAAAAAAAAGGCTGAAAATGCACAATAACTCCAAGGATCATACGAAAGTATGCAGCCAAGAAAAATGGAGATAAACAAAGCAAACATATCAACACGAGATTAATTCACAGGCAAAACTTTTGGAAATCACATTATTGATTTTGACCACATTAGACAACCTGATGAAAACACAAAAATTACTTGCCCACACAACTCATGGAACCCTGATCCATTGTTACACTGCAGCCTGTTGCTTTCGAGCAGCCCATCTTACTCACCAAGTTCACCGATGTGTCATGGCCTCTCCTATATCTTCAGCTTTTGTGCTTCACCATAAGTCAATACCAAGACAGAAAGAGAGAGTGAACAGGAGGAGGTCAATCCCTCATGCCCTTCTGAACCCAAGTAGTATGTAGTTCTAAGCCTCTCACTAACCTTTCCACCATATCTATAATATAAAACCATTCACATTGTACCGTGACTTCAAGCATGGGTTACCCCTAGTATGTGTAGTATGTGGATAAGCCATAACATAGTTTGGGAGTTTATCGTAATGCCTTTCACTGAGATTCCATTACACAACACCTCAATGGAAAAAGATAAGATCAGCAGAAACAGTTATATTGGTTAGCAGCAGAATATTCCAAATTTTATGGCTCATAATCTGTAATTCTGACACAAGCAAGCATTTCGGCTGGAATCTGGAACCCAGTGGATAATATTTATGATCACACTTCAATTGTAAAAGGAATTTGATCATATCTGCATAGAATCCAATGAAATATGAATAATTAACTAGACAATCGTTACACTTCCCCTTGATCTGAATAATATGGTGTGATGTTAAAACTTTTCTCTTATTCTCTTAGTTTCTCCCTTACAGGTTCAGTTAATTTACTGATGAAAAACAGTTATTTACAGTAGGCTTATTGACTGTCGCCATAGTTTTGCCATTATTGCCAAATTATAACCAGCACAACGCTATTCACAAGTCTTGAACGTATGGCTACATGAGCACTAGTCAAGGATTCATCCATGGTTCCGATGTCATATTTGCAACATTCAGAGGTAGCTAAAAGGAACAAGAACAGAGAAGTGTGCTTGGTGGATGGTCTGTTTCAACCAAACAACCCATCTAATGTCCAATCCTGCAACTATATAGCCATGGCACACAGCTTGAATATGCTTACTGCTTTAACAGAGTCCCATAATATCATCCATAGATGGAACAAAATAATTGTCAACCGGTGATAACCGAATGCTATATCATTAGTCACCCAAAATATAGCAGGCAAGGAATACGGCGATAAATATTAAGTCTAATAGTCAGGAAAAAATGGAGAAAAAAGAATAAAAGGTCATTATTACCCTCGGTTAAACCACCAATGCAGGGTGAACCACAATCATAGGTAATCTTTAGTATTATGTGTACAAAGGGAATGCCTTTTGCTGAAACTTATAATCTCATGCACTGCAGCCAGAACTTATATCATTGCCCCAAACAGTGATCATTAAAGCATTCTATCAGAGATTCAAGGTAGCATTAATAATTTACTCTGACTGACCTTTGTGTAGAAGTCTGGTGGTGAATACGAGTCAAAGTGTGTATGGCTAAAATCCAAACGCCATCCATCTCCCATGTATACTCTTACCTTTCAAATAAAACAATTCTTCTAAGATGATATCATCAGGAAACTGAAAAACTCTTATGTCAATAAAACAATCTACTCACCATTAAAGTTGTCTTCACCGGCAATGTTACTTTGGGATCAAATACCTCATTAT